AATTGGGCATTTAAAAATCATCACATCTGTCTGAAAAGTGCGAGCCTAGGGCTGGATTTACTGCATATCCTTTCTAGCGGCTAATAGCCAACATTAGTTGAAGAACAACGCTGCAATTTGTGAAAGCACATATCCCGAAGGTTCATGAGCAGGGGAGGGAAAAAGAAGTGTGAAGAAATGCCGACTTCTTCATTATTGTATTCCATTCAGGAGTGAAGGAAGATGGGATTTACACTTTTTGTAAGAAAATATGTTGTCCCAAATTACACTTTTGATAGCAAAACATTGATGTGGCGTCACATAGTGAACCAACAGAAGGCGAAGGACATTACAAATTTGGAAGCAATGCTAGGGGTCACAAGAAGTGGTGACAGGAAATCTAGGTAGCGAATAAGCATTTGAAAGTAAGTCATCTCTCTATCCTAATATATTTTTAATCAAATTTTGATATTCCCTCTTAGTCCGCCACTCTATCGATCCATCTTTCTCCTTTTACCGTTGAACTAATATAAGAAATCATAATTAGCAGATAAGATATTGATCAGGACTTCAGATATTCCCGACTGTGTTTCTTACAATCAAACCGTCGATGGAGTTGTGACCACGTATCCGAACCGCTGCTTAATAAAGGACAAAGATGCAACTTGCATTGAAGGACTCGCTTCGTTCTCTTGCAATTGTTCGTCGATGTATACAGGACAGTACTGTGACCTCAGTATGTGTTATTAAATACGATTAAATACATCACGGATTATCAGTTAGAGGAATATATTTGGTTTCTAGACCTTTATTGCTGATATTTTTTGTTTAGATATTATCATTCGAGATGTACTGGAGACAGTGTATGGTAAGGTCGAATTGGATATGATACCTGTGAGTTCTAAACACGTTAAATTTCTACTGTTATCAACTTACGAATGAATTGAATTTTTTCACAAAATTTATAGTTTAAAAGTTCTCGTATTGCTGTAAAAGAGTAAATTGTCCAAAAAATTTCGCACATTTTTGTGGCCCCAAGGACAGGCCCATATATGCACTTGTCAGTAACGTCACCCTTATACTATGGCTTTTAATGTACATTAGAAAGCGTGAAACATATTTTATTCAAGCTGGCATTGTCTATTTGCTGATTTCAGTCTTTGACATTTCCAGTATATCCAACTGTACGCAACATAAGGGCAAATTGGAGCTTTTGATTGCATGACTTTAAAAGACCGTT